CGTGACTTACTATAGCCAGGTAACAAACTCAGATCAAAAGCAAGGCCATATTTTTCTGCCTTAGGATTCTGAAGTGAAATGGTTGTCATGATGATGAAAATAACATGTATATTTGAAATAAAAAATGAAAACAGACTTTTATAGATAAATATTACATGATTTAATTGACTGGCTAGTCTGTGTGAACTGACGTTGTCAAATAAGTTCTATGCATGGACTAACGAATTAAATATACAGGTCCAAGTTTTAAAGAAAATACATAAACCAAAAATTATAAAATTTTTTACAAAAAATATTGTATTAGTAAAGGCACCCTGAATTTAACAATAATTAAAATTTGCAATGACCTCAAAGTATTTGGTTAAAAATACGATCTAAAAGTAACAAGTATATTACTAGCCACTTCTTGAGTCTTGAAAAAGTCTTTTCAGTATATTTCACCCAAATTCAGAAAGACAATGACTCTTAATTACAAGTTTTAACTTTTTAAATGTTAGATTGTTAGGTGATTTTTGGTAATTAACTCAAAAGGAAAGAACTGAATGATAATACTATAGCAAAACTCTTTCTCTACTCATTATATGACCAAGATTTCACAGTACTTATATATATAAAAAAACACAAAAAAAAGTTTAAAAAATTGCAGCTGCAAGTTTTATTTTAGCAATAAATAATATTTATTCATGGATACGTGAACTAAATGAATAAAACAGATCAGTTCATCTGTTTTAAGAGATATACAGTGGGGCCTTGACATACGAATTTAATTCGTTCCATGACAGAGCTCATAACTCAAATTACTCGTATGTCAAATCAATTGTGAACAAGTGAGACACGTGATGCTGGGCTGATGTTGTGGCGTTCACTGTGACGTTCGCTGCGCCAACTAGCGGTGGGGTATCTGAAGCTGGCTCGTAACCCGAATTTTAGCTCGCAACTCAAAGCAAAAAATCAGCCAAGAGACAGCTCGTATCTCGAAAAACTCGTTAGTCAGGACACTCGTAAGTCAAGGCCCCACTATATTTCTAAAATAATTATACACAATATGTTTAATAATTGTTAATATCTGTAATATAATTTTGGATTAAATATTTATTAATAACTATAAAGGTAACTAAATCCATTAAAAAAACGAATCATTTAGTGACAGGAATATTATTTAATGTTAAATTAAATAATAGTTAAATTATCTCTTTATTAACATTTATCTCTTTATTAAAGTATAATAGGATAAGTTAAAATCTTTCTATCCCATAAAAATATATCGTATGAAGTTAAAATAGATATGTAAAGTCAAAATCCTGTGAGAAATTGAAAGAAAATATAAATTTAAGAAGAAAAAGGCACAATATTTTCAACTTAAAGAGGATATAGTACACTTTAAAAAATATTTTTAAAATAGATGTTGCTGAGTATGAATTCATAATTATCTTTAGATATCACTGGATATATATGTGTCAAACCGGTTTTATTTGAAAATATCAATATTTATATCTTTAAAAATGTGTAATAAGGCATATACTTAATTAAAAGCTTAAGGGAATCTCAAGCAATAAAAAATCAAAGACCAATGTCATAGAAGTTAGTGATGGAACACTTTTATTTTTCTCCAAAGTTCACTATTTCAATGTCCACCTGAAGAATATCTAACAGCAGCATTCTAAGAAATTGCAATGTTAAAATAAAAGTTAGAGAAAACTGCAATGTGAAAAACCTTCTAGTTTTTCAGCGTAATTTTAAATTCCCTAAATCATGACAAAACATGTTTTGGAGAAAAACCTCTACAAAGATGGAGAAAGTAAATTTAAAAGTTCCTAAAATCTATTCAACTGCTAAGTATGGGAAATACTTAAGAGGGTGCTATACCAGACTGTCAAAAATTTAAGTTTGACCACATACTCTCCAAGGTTGCAGGAAACAGTAATTCACATATATTAAGTATAAATCAGGTATAAGAAAATTAGAACTGTATCTGACCTGATACAGCAGCTCTACTTCTATATTCATCCTACAGATATACTGGTGTGTGGGTAAAATTACCCATACAGGAACTCGCATATATTACTATTTGAATGGCAAGTGTTAACTCTTATGAATGAGGCATTTGGCAATTATCTAGCCAAATTACCTGTAAATTTACCCTCTGAAATCTCCACTGTAATTCCAGTAATTTATCCCGAAAATAAACTGTAAAAATATGAAAAGATATAAGTTCAAGGCTTTACTAAAGCACTAGCTATAATAGCAAAAGATTGGAAAAAACCTCTGCTTATCAAGTGATGGTACATCAATCTATGCTACACCCATTCACTGGAGCATTAGGTAGCAATAAATGAGAAATCTCTAAATATTTTGCTGTAGAGACTGACCTACAGTTCATAATGTTAAGTAAACAAAAAATTGAGGTGCCAAACAGTGTAGCCACTTTCTCCAAGAAGAGTGGTATATTCTTATAATAAACATACAAAAAAACCAAAGCAAAACAATAATGGAAGGTTAAACTACAATAGGTTACCTCGAGATGAAAGAGAGAGGATGGAGGAAATCAGGACAAAAGCTAGACTTCTCTGAATAAAACTTTTGTAGATTTGACTTTGGAACCATGTGAATAATTTTTCATAAGTATAAAACAAATTAATTATTTTTAAAAAGCAATTCCTCAAAATAAAAAACAAAGCTAAAAAATGAAACAAGGCATGGCTCAGTGGTTGAGCATCAATCTATGAACCAGGAAGTCACAGTTTGATTCCCAGTTACTGACAGTACAGGCCGGTTGTGGGCTCAGTCCCCAGTGGGGGGCATGCAAGAGGCAGTCCATCAATGATTCTCTCTCATCAATGATGTTTCTAAGTCGCCCTCTCCTTTCCTGTCCGAAGTCAATAAAAATATTTTAAAAAACAAAACAAAATTTTTAAAAACCCCATTCTCATCTAGCTGGTGGAATTACCAACCAGGAATAAATAATTTCAAAACAGTAATTTAAATATACATTCCTAGTGGAATATACCTGGTGGTGCCACCAAACAACAACAAAGGAACAGGATTAAAAAAAAATTTAAGTCGTTTTATTAGTAATTATATTTTAACTAGAGGCCCGATGCTTGAAATTCGTGCAAGAGTAGGCCTTCCTTCCACCAGCTGCTGACACCGTCTTCCCTCTGGTACCCGGGACCCGGGCTTCCCTCATAGCCCGGCTTTGTCCAGAAGGACGGAAGGACATCTGGAAGGACGTCCGGTCTAAGTAGCATATTACGCTTTTATTATTATACATTGGTATTGTGAAATTATTTAATGTACCTAATAGGATAAAGCAAATAAGTAATTAAGTTATCATCATTAGCAACTAAGACACTAAACCCAAGACACATATTTAACAACATAAGAAAACACATTTTCTCCAAGGCAATAACCACCAAAAGCAAAGACAAAAGAAAAAAACTGCTTTAAGATATTAGCAACTAGTATCAAAGCAATGAGCCAGTATCTCCAAAAAACGGTATATCATCAAACCTAAGACCTTCTAAGATGCATAAATATTGTATGTACTAATATGCAAAGAAACTTTTAAAATTAAACCATGTCATGAAATTATAATACACACCTAGACAAATTTCAGATGTCAAAATGTGAAAAAATGTGTATCTCAGACTCAATATAAACAGAATTCCTATGAATCAATAATACCCTAAAGACCAAATAGAAAAATGGGCAAAGGATATTAATTGACAGTTATCCAAAAAAAATAAATGGACTACATTTATGAAATGTGTTCAACCTCATTCATGAAGAAAGAAATAAGATACTATTTTTCACTGGCAAAAATCAAAAGGTTGATAAAACTGTAACAAAAGTTTGAAGAAATAGGCACTCTCAGACATTGCTGATAAATTAAGTATAAATCAGGTATAAGAAAATTAGAAATATATCTGACCTAATACAGCAGCTCTCCTTCCATATTCATCCTACAGATATACTTGTATGTGGGCAAAATTACCCAGAAGGCTAACTTACTCGAAATTATTTGGGGGAGGGCGGTAAGTAACACCATAAATGTGGTGGTATCTATACTAATGAAAGGGTAATATGCTAATTAGATCAGGTTGACCGGCTGACTTCCTTCCGGACAAAGCCATGGTGGTGGGGGGCTGAGGCAGAGGCAGTTAGGGGTGATCAGGCCAGCAGGGGATGGTCGTTGGGGGAAACCAGGCCAGCAGGGGAGGGCAGTTGGGGGCATTAGGCATGCAGGCAAGTGAGTGGTTAGGAGTCAGTGGTCCAGGATTACGAGAGGGATGTCTGACCCCTGTGGGATTGGGCCTAAACCGGCAGTCAGACATCCCCCGAGGGATCCCGGAATGGAGAGGGTGCAGTCTGGGCTAAAGAACCCCCCCCCCCCCGTGCACGAATTTTGTGCACTGAGCCTCTAGTTGAATAATAACAGTACATCATAAAATGAAATGGTACAATGGAAAGAACGAAGACACTCTTTTTTTTTAAAATATATTTTATTGATTTTTTACAGAGAGGAAGGGAGAGAGATAGAGAGCCAGAAACATCGATGAGAGAGAAACATCGATCAGCCGCCTCCTGCACATCCCCCACTGGGGATGTGCCCGCAACCCAGGCACATGCCCTCGACCGGAATCGAACCCGAGACCCTTCAGTCCGCAGGCCGACGCTCCATCCACCAAGCCAAACCGGCTTCGGCCGAAGATACTCTTAATAAATGCTCATGGATGGTCTTCAGACACAATTATTTTTAGATTAGAAAAAGTGTGTATAGGATACTACCAATTATGTAAGTGTAAGGAGGTGAGACAAGAATATTGTTTTAACACATAAATATCTGATAGGAAAAACAAGAAACTGGGAACATCATTTGCCTCTGGGATAGGAAAGAGAGAGGTTGGGACTTAATTTAAAATGTTAACATTTTCTTTTGAAATATTCATTTTTAGTATATAACCTAAAAATGTTTTTTAAATTAAAAAAGCAACACTTGCCTTTTTTCCTTTTGAGGTTTCAGAATCCTCATCTTCATCTATACTGAGTAGATTTGCCTCACTGCATATAAAATAAGGGAGGAAGAAACCTTAAATGGCAATTATGACCCATACATTAAATTCAGTTTTATCCTCTTTGTTCATCTAATAATTCAGGGATCAGCAAACTTTTTCTGTAAAGGGCAATAGAATAAATATTTTAGGCTTTATAGACCATACTATCATCATATCAACCACTCATTTTTTCCATTATAGTATAAAAGCCATCATATATTACTAGTATATGTGTAGTTGTGTTCCAATAAAACGATTAACAAAAATCAAGTGGTGGGCCAGATTGGGCCTGTGAAGCATCATGGTTTGTTGATCCACACCATAAATGAATAAAATATTTGTCGTCTTATATACGAATTTCATATATGGTCACTCATTTTTACTTTCTGTCTTGGATTTAAATTAGGGGAAAGGACAGAGAAACAAACTGGTAGAAAACTTTAGCTAATGAAAAGAAACAATATTACCACAGTAAAATAGCTATACCTCTACCACTATGAAAGAAATATCAACTCTTCACTGAGAATCACTGGCCTGAGACTTTTAAAAATCATACTGATACATCTATTAACAAACAGTTCATGTTAATATCAACTTGTTCAAAAAGCAAGAGCCACTGAGGATCCACTTATAATGAGGAACCAAAGAGTATGATTCATAAATGAAACATACAGGACTGGTAGCACCTTAAAAGACAATTTCTTACATATCCTTGACAAATCTTTTCACAGAGGAACTCAAAATACACACTTGTGAAGGCAACTCTATAAGCTATTTTCAGTAAAAACCTAACTATTTATAGTAAAAACGTAAAATGTTTGTTTCATTACTGCTTATATATGTCCCAACTTTTTTAATGCTAAAAATTCTCTCCTTCCACACACTTTACAAAAATGTTTTTAAAATGATATACTTTCTACTCAATTTAATTTCAGATTTAGTTCCAATTTTTCAAAATGTCTGTCTTTGTTACAGTACCTATGTACTAAATGTCTGTAACAAAAACTATTTTAAATTGAAAAATAGTCAGAAATAAAAGACCATAAAATATCAATTTTAACTGAGAAACTTACCAGTTCTAAGCTCTCCTTCAAATAAAACTTCACTTCAGTTCAATAGCACATAGGTGAAGGCACATAAAATGGCAATGATGAATGGAGCTGTTGCCCAAAAAGAAGTGAAGCACCTACAATATTTAGCCAATATACTCTGAAAGACTTCTTGTGTAAAATTTCTAAAACATATTTATAGTTTTGGTAGAACTTGGTGTATATATTTGTGTTTCTCTAAATTTGCTATTTGTTCTGGTTAAGGGAAAAATCAGATCAATAAACCAAGAAACTATAGCAATGCTGAATCTGTAATACAAATTCTGCATGATGCAAAAGGTTCTATTAAAACCAGTATTTGAAATTTTTCACAGAAGTAATTCCAAGTACATTAACAAATATAATGAACACTTTGCTCAGCTTCTGTCTGGGTCAACACCTGTGTTTATCATTTATAGTATTTCTGCTCTCTCTGGTGATAATCTGATCTAAGATGGACAGGTGGTGAGGGGTAACTGGGAAGAAAGTTACTACAGGATCTAAACGTTGATACAAAATTCTGAGGTCTTAATCTAGGTTCACTTACTTACTCAAGATAAATGGTAGCTTTTCAAATCACTGAACAGAATCCCGTGTTTGTTTATTTTTACTAAGGAACAATTATTTAGTTGTAAATCTGTAGTATGATTGATATTTAATCATAAGGTTATACATATTACATGCACTTATTTATACATTTCAAAAGATAAATATAACATAAAATTATTTACCAATAAAGAACTGCTTTTTCTTCATTGATGCAATTATAAAATATGAGTTCAATATTTCCTTAAGAATACAATATTCTTAAAAATATTTCCATAGCAAACAATTTATATTATTTTTCTAATGAAAAGTTTCATTCTTATAAAATATCTGAGGGGAAAAAAAATCTTACTCTTTATCTGTATCTCCTTCACTTTCTTCTCCATGATCAAAGCTCCAATTATTTTTAAAACCTCCATCTCTCCTAGATTCGGATCTAGTCAAAGCTGAAATAAAAACAGAGATAAGTATTAATAGAGATATCTAATCTAATAAAAGAGAAACATGCAAATTGACTGCACCTCAACTACGCCCCAAGCCACGCCATCAGCCAATCAGAGCGATTACATGCAAATTAACCCAACCAAGATGGCGGCCAGCAGCCACAGAGCTGGAGCAAGCAGGAGGCTTGGTTGCCCCGGCGATGGAGGAAGCCAAGCTTCCCGCCAGCCCGGGCCGGCCCTGAGGTCCGCTCAAGGCAACAAAGTTTCAATTATAGAAGCTAAATAAATCCCTGATACCTGCTTCCAGCCAGCCTCCACTGGGAGCTTGGGTGGCCAAGGGCTTGGCCAGCCTGCAAACAGCCATTAGCCCCTCACCCAGGATGGCCACATCCTCATGGGGTGAGGGTCCCCGCTGGGGGGCTTGGCCAGCCTGCAAACAGCCATCAGCCACTCACCCAGACTGGCCAGGCACCCCAGCAGGACCCCCAACCTGAAGGGGGTGTGACCAGCCTGCAAATGGCCCTCAGCCCCTCACCCAGGCTAGCCAGGCACCCCAGTGGGGAGCCCCACCCTGAAGGGGCTGTGGCCAGCCTGCAAACAGCCATCAGCCACTCACCCAGACTGGCCAGGCACCCCAGCAGGACCCCCAACCTGAAGGGGGTGTGACCAGCCTGCAAATAGCCCTCAGCCCCTCACCCAGGCAGGCCAGGCACCCCAGGGGGGACCCCCACCCTGAAGGGGGTGTGACCAGCCTGCAAATGGCCCTCAGCCCCTCACCCAGGCTAGCCAGGCACCCCAGTGGGGAGCCCCACCCTGAAGGGGCTGTGGCCAGCCTGCAAACAGCCATCAGCCCCTCACCCAGGCTGGCCAGGCACCCCCACCCTGATCCATGACACTCTTCAGGGCAAACCCACTGGCCCCCACCCATGCACCAGAACTTTATCCTATATAATAAAAGGGTAATATGCAAATTGACCCTAACAGCAGAATTACTGGTCACTATGATGCACACTGACCACCAAGGGGCAGACACTCAATGCAGGAGCTGCCTCCTGGTGGTCAGTGCACTCCCACAGGGGGAGCTCTGCTCATCCACATGCCAGGCTGACGGCTGCCAGTACAGTGGTGGTGGTGGGAGCCTCTCCTGCCTCCTCAGCAGCGCCAAGGATGTCCGACTGCAGCTTAGGCCTGCTCCCCACTGGCAAGTGGACATGCCCCGAGGGCTCCCGGGCTGCCAGAGGGATGTCTGACTGACAGCTTAGGCCCAATCCCCTGGGGAGCGGGCCTAAGCCAGCAGGTGGTCATTCCCCCGAGGGGTCCCAGACTGTGAGAGGGCACAAGCTGGGCTGAGGGACCCCTCCCCCCCCCCAGTGCACAAATTTTTGTGCACCAGGCCTCTAGTTAGCTATAAAGTAAAATTGAGCATTCCCCAAGCTCTTTGTTTAGTCTAGATTTTCTTTTCACTTGAATGCCTTGATTATTGCTTATGAACACCTTATTTCCTCTAAAGAGAGAAAGAACACTTTAATGTCATCCATATGTGTGTTTGCTAGAAAAAGCAGCTCAAATTTGTACAATACAATAAAAATGGGGGGGAGGCACACATGAATATGTGTGAGATATTTAAAAAAATCAACCCTGTATCTCCATAATTGATCACTGATTCTACAAATCAGTGCCTGTTAGTTTGCTTGCCTTACTTATGAGAACCATATCCAGACCACTAACTGACCTTTTCTTTACCTCCATCATCTCTGCCTTTTAACAGAAGAGAAACAAAAGATTTCTGTGTTGGCAATATGGTGAACTTGATTTATCAAAAACAACAACAAAAACCCTCCATCCATATCAGAACATCAAACATGCTCATTATGAGTTTTAAAAATTTTGTAAGTGCATGGCTGAAAACCCCTGAAGTCATAAACAACTGGTAAGTGGGAACCTGGAGAAATAAGCTTCTGAAGTTGTCATTTGAAGCCATATGACAAAATTCTGATGGCCTAGAGCCTGGTTTTTAAGATCAAGTTTAGAGCCCCAGAGCCCTGGCTGGTGTGGTTCAGGTGGTTGAGCATGGTCCCATGCACCAAAAGATTGCTATGTGATTCCTAAGGTCAGAGCACATTCCAACATTTCAGGCCCAATCCCCAATAAGGAGTGTGCAGGAGTATGTTTCTCTCACATCAATGTGTCTGTCTCTCTCTCCCTCCCTCCCTCCCTCCTTCCATCTCTATCTAAAATCAATATATATAAAGTTTGGGGACACAGCAAGATGAAGGGTCAGGCTGAATACCAGAATACCTGAAGGGCAACACTCTGATTGGGTGAACTAGGGTAAAACAAAGAAACTCACTGAAGAACTCAACAATGGGAATAATAATAATGTCCTGTCCTTGCCTCTGGATTTTTGGATTGAACTGTAGACAAAGTGTATACTCCCATGACCAGAGAATTCCTAACCATAAACTCATAATTACTCAGATTTGGGACCAAATGTTTTATAACTTACATGGCCCAGTAAAGCCCATAATTTTAAAAGTTTCACAAGATGCTCACTAAATATAAGAAATGCAAATCAAAACTATAATGAGATACTAGTTCGCACCCATTAGGATGGCTATTTTTTTAATAATAATGAAATATAGTAAGTAGTAGTGACAAAAATGTGGAGGGAATTGAAACTTTTATGCACTACTGGTGGGAATGTAAAATGCTGCAGCCACTGTGGGAAAAGTTTAGCAGTTGCCTAAAAAGTTAAACATAAAATTACCCTATGATCCATCAACCCCACTTCTAGGTATACTAGGTGTACGGGTTAATAATGCAGATTTTTTCAATAGATGGAGTTACACATATGTTGATATATATGCGATTTGATATGTATGATACTTTGTTATATTGACAGCAAACTTCAAAACTTCATATGTCAAATTTTCTGAAGGTGTTAACATCATAGATATTCATACACTAAAAAATGTCGAATTTCGTGCCAAAAAAAGAGCATTTGCGGAAAGTTTTAATTCATGATTTTGAAGAAAAGTGCTGCTGAATACTTCAGGAAGCTTATGGTGAACATCTCCATCTCAAGATACTTGTGAACACTGGTTTAAATGCTTTAAAAGCGATGATTTCTATGTGAAAGACAAAGAACGTCCAGGTCAACTAAAAAAGTTTGAAGACCAACAATTACAAGCGTTATTGGGTGAAGATGCATGTCAAACTCAAAAACAACTTGCAGAAAGATTAAACACTATTCAGCAAACAATTTCCGATCGTTTACAAGCAATGGGAAAGACTGTAAAGGAAGGAAAATGGGTGCCACATCAACTGAACAAAAGACAAATGGAAAACCAAAAGGTCATCAGTAAAATGTTGCTTCAACGGCACAAAAGTATTTTTTGTGACTGGCAATAAAAAGTGGATTTATTTTGAGAATCCCAAATGCACAAAATGATGGGTTGGTTGATCCAGGTCAACCATCAACATCGACTGCAAGGCCAAATCACTTCAGAAAGAAGACAATGCTCTGCGTTTGGTAGGATCAGGAAGGTGTGGTGTATTTATTATGAGCTTCTAAAACCAGGTGAAACCATTAATACTGATCACTAATAACAACAATCAATTTGAACCACGCTTTGATCGTGAAATTACAAGAATGTGACAGAAGATACGACAAAGTAATTTTGCTTCATGATGACACACCATCACACACTTCAAAACCAGTTAAAGACACGTTACAACATCTTGCCTGGGAAGTATTAACCCACCTGCTGTATTCACCAGACCTTGCAAATTACCACTTGTTCCGATCGATGGCACATGCACTTTCTGAGCAGCACTTCAAAACATTCAAATAAGTGGAAAATTGGGTCTCTGAATGGTTTGCCTCAAAACAAGAAAAGTTCTATTGCAGTGGTTCTCAACCTTCCTAATGCCGCGACCCTTTAATACAGTTCCTCATGTTGTGGTGACCCCCAACCATAAAATTATTTTCGTTGCTACTTCATAACTGTAATTTTGCTACTATTATGAATCGTAATGTAAATATCTGATATGCAGGATGTATTTTCATTGTTACAAGTTGAACATAATTAAAGCATAGTGATGAATCACAAAAAAATATGTAATTATATATGTGTTTTCCGATGATCTTAGGTGACCCCTGTGAAAGGGTCATTCAACCCCCAAAGGGGTAATGACCCACAGGTTGAGAATCGCTGTTCTATTGGGACTGTATCCACAAGTTACCTGAAAGATGGGGGAAATGTGTAGCTAGCGATGGACATTACTTTGAATAAAGCACTTTTGATGTTTCTCTTGAAATTACCGTGTTTTCTTTGATTACAAAATCCGCATTATTAAAGTAGGTGGGATCTCAATACCAGATATCAAGCTGTATTACAAAGCCACTGTTCTCAAAACAGCCAGGTACTGGTACAAGAACAGACATATAGATCAATGGAATAGAATAGAGAACACAGAAATCGACCCAAACCACTATGCTCAATTAATATTTGACAAAGGAGGCATGAACATACAATGGAATCAAGAAAGCCTCTTCAATAAATGGTGTTGGGAAAGTGGACAGATACATGCAAAAAAATCAAACTAGGCCACTAGCTAACACCATACACAAAAATAAACTCAAAATGGATAAAGGACTTAAACATAAGATGGGAAACCATAAAAATACTAGAGGAATCTATAGGCAGCAAAATCTCAGACATATGCCAAAGCAATTTCTTCACTGATACTGCTCCTAGGGCAGCGGTCGGCAAACTGTGGCTCGCGAGCCACATGCGGCTCTTTGGCTCCTCGAGTGTGGCTCTTCCACAAAATACCGACTCCTGCGCATGGGCCACGAAGTTTCAATTGCACTGTACGTGCGCGCCCGCACGTGGTATTTTGTAGAAGAGCCACACTCAAGGGGCCAAAGAGCCGCAGTTTGCTGACCATGGTCCTAGGGCAATGGAAACTAAAGAGAAAATAAACAAATGGGACTACAT